TCTAGACAAAAAATAGTATGTGGTTTGGGAACTACGCACACTCGTACTTATGATTAAGCACACTCAAATATATTTATTTATACCTTAATTGATTAACTGACAGTAACCTACGCATACCACAGTGTGCGTTCCAGGTTATAGACAAGCCAGCTACAATTTCGCTCAGCCCATAAACTATCAAGGATCAAACCCGCATCCACATAACAACAATACTATCCCTACCTCTGAATTCGCCCCATCTCCGGCAATCGTCACATCGTTAGACGAGACTCCGGATGCAGAATTTGATGTTTGTGTCAAATCTGTGCTGTACTTGCTGGAACCGTTTGACGATGGGGCAGCTATACCAGTGTATTCTAAGAATATTCTCCCGCTTACTAGCACAGATAGAATCAGGAGAACTTTACCAAGAAATTGCGACATGAACATGATCTATCGTTAATCTATACTGACAATTGCTGAATGCTACTAAGCATTGGGTGTAGAATAAATACATAATGTTATCAGTGACAGTTTGAGTTTGTCACATTGTGATTGTGTCACACTGCATACTTAGGCTCCTAAAATACCCCCCCTTTTTTTAGGACTACAGACCCTCGACCTCAGGCCCACAGCCTACTCTACTCTCTAGAGCAGTAGTAGAGAGTAGTAAAGTGCGTCCAGGCTACTACTGACCGTACTGAGTACAACTGGGTCAGTGCCTCAATGGTCACTGGAGACCTGGAGTCCTTGGAGGCATGGACTCTATATATATAAAAATGGTTTTATCAAATATGAAATGCTCTACTATTATTTTTTAACTCTTTGTTTTTTTATTTTAAACAAATAGACAAATCCCAATATGTACTGTACATAAATACATGATGATAATAGACTACTCACTACATACATCTAAATACATATTTTGCAATATCCACAAGGGTTCAGTTCGGTACTGGTTCTTGGTACCGAACTGCCGTCGTCTAGCACATGGAGACAATTCAGCTAAGCTGTCAGGGTAATTTGAGGAGCTGATATGTTCTACTTGATGAGCTGATGTGACAGCTGTTAGTTGGTGAAGAAGCCAGGACGACACACTATGCCGGACAATGAATTAGAGGATCACTGGATGGATATGGTGAGCTTCGTAGTAAGGAAGGTGTCGTGTGATTAGGTCGGCATAGTGAGGATGAAGGAAGGTTCAGCTCATCATGGAGATTATGTGTTAGATTAGACAGGAAGGATATATTTAAGGTCAACACAGTAGGACAGTCTGGGCATTCATACTGAAAGAGCTCGGTCAATGTCTGAAAACCGGTTTATGAACCTACTGTGTTGTGAACTGCAATTGGACAGACCGTGCTTAACTAGCAAGTCGTTTTAGGGTTTTTTTTGAGCCGGCTTATTATAATTTTGCCCGAGGTTGTAAACAAAAAATCCTGATAATGGGAGGATTTTTTAATAGTTAACTTAAATTCTAACAGTGGCACACATAGGGATAATATTTATTTATTTTTCAAAAATGGCAAGTATGTATGATACAATGTATGAACATATGGTATAGTGTACTGGAAGGTTTGTAATCGTGGAAACGACTAGATGACGATGATCGAACGATTCTGGCTCCATGGTCCCGGGCCTGGGCAAGGACTATTCTCTTCTGCTCAAGTCCAAAGAGTAGACAAATGCAGGATGCGAACAGTGTGTGGCCCTGATGATCCGACAGGTCAGTCCTGCCGTTGAGTACAGGCTTCGATCAAAGATCAACAACAAGTCTTTGGTAATGCGGATGGAACAACACATCTGTAGAAATACGGCCTCCGGTCAGTCTAAAATATCAAGATCAATTGAGATAATACATTGGTTTTTATTTGTATTTTAAATAATTTAATACAAGCTCTTTTTCCAATATTTCCAAAGTGTTCTAAATGCACTTTGATGGCTCCAATAGCCTGGGTATTTGGTATGACTCATCTGCTTGGACCTATTTGAGACATTAGTAGATGTAGGATATTATAAACTAAATTTTATAATCTCCGAACTACTACTTATAGATTTTGGTCCTCCCGCCAATCTCCAAAATCCAATAAGTC